CAATACTATCGGTAGATTCGATCGGGTTCCAAATAACATGGCCCACTGCATTCTGATTGGCTATAGTCGATACATCAAGTAAGCTCACGATGTCAATGTTAACATTTTTAAAGAAATGAAAGAATGGGGATGCATAATGAGAAATGCCTTTAATTTGCAAGTAACTCATATGCATATCATGAGCATGCATCATATGCATGAGGTTTGCTTATTGAGCGTTAGCTCATCCCACGTTATCCCTCCCCATTTTCAGATGATGAAGGCGAGATGATGCAAGGTGACGACTTGTGGTGACACGGACTCAGTAATATCATATTTAATTGTTGGATTCATTTTTGTGATTAAAGTTGACAATCAATTTAATTGTTCTACATTTCGTTTTGAAATAAAGTAAACTTTTATTTTTATCTTATGGTTTTTATTAAGTACAAATCTATTTCCAAAAATGAAGTCAAAGATGTTCATTTTGTCAAAGAAAAATTAAATCACTTTGGCATTTATGATTTCAAAAGAAAGTTAAAAGATAATATCTCCAAATTTAGGAATCTAAATTTGGGGGTGTCACAGTCAGCATTCGCTTTCAAACTTATTAAAGATTTTCATCTTTGTCATGTTCAACCCTAAAACCTTGGTACTTGGTTCAAGAAACCATTGGGTCAAGTTTCTTTTGATCGGATTTTAGCTTTCTCTGGGTGCATATTCAATTCTTGTTGCGAATTCCAAGGTTCATCCTTTAAGGAGTATAAGCTCCCGTTTGGCCCCCATTTTTGGTAATAAAAATGGGAAGAATAGTGTTTTATTGAAAAAATGAGTGGTTGAAAAAGAAGAAATTTTTTTTGACTTACGTGTAATATTATTTTATGAAAGATTGTGTAGTTGAAAATAGAAGAAAGAAAAATAGAATGTATTGGAATGTAATTTAATGGGGCTAAATTAGTTGTATTAGAGCTTTGGATCTAAAATAAGTTTTTTTTTCCCCCTATTCTTCCATTCTAATTCTTTTTTGCATCTCTTTCTTTTGAGTTTCATGACAATCTTAGAGTCATCCATCTCAAAATTCGTGGCAAACAGATTCAAGAATTGATTAGTGCACATCCTATTAACCCTATTTACACCTAATACTTGTTTTTCTGGTTTCTTGCATTGTGACTGGCTCTATCCCTTTAAGATCATTGTACTTGCATCCAAAAAAAGAGAAGAAGAAATATAAGAAAAATCCATAATTTTCTTACCAATTCTAAGAGTTTTTCAAAATTCTAAGAATTCTTCGAAAGTTCAAGAAATGCATACAATTTCAACTTTTTTTTCATAGAACTCTTGTTGTAGTGTTATTTTTGTGAAAAAAAACATTCTAACTGATGTTTGACACATAAAGCCCCCATTTGCTCCCCATTAAATTTACTTACATTACATTCCATTTTTCTCTCTCCTATTTTCAACCACACAATCTTACATAAAATAATATTACACATAAATCGAAAACTTTTCCTTCTTTTTCAACCACTCATTTTTCTAAAAAATACTATTCCCCCCATTTTCATTTTCAGGTAATGGAGGTCAAACGGGGGCAAATTATCAATTTCATTTTGCTTGTGATCTTTATTCACAATTCTTTCTTGATTCTTGGTTCTTGTTAGATTGAAGATTGTAAAGACTGAATTCTGGATTCAATTTAGATAGCTCATTAAAGAACTTTACAAGAAAAACAAAGAGACGAAAAAGACAAGAGTGGCGAGTGCAAAATCCAAAAAAAGCCAAGCAGTGAAACACTCAAGTGTAAACACGTGAGATTAAATTTCCTCGTTATTAAAGAATGAACAAAACAGAGATTCAACATCTACGTAGGAGAACAAGCAATTCATTTTTCTTGAAAAAAATGCAACAAGAATTCGAGGTGTGAATGTCGTGTTTGGGGAAATTCAGGATAGAATGGATAGGTAAAATATTGTGATTAGAAGTTTATGTGTTAACCAATTGGAGGATCAGTTGGAGGTGGACAAACCAGGCGTGGAGATGGTCTTTTAGCATAGGAGAATGAAAATGAGTTTAGGAGTGGAAATGGGGAGGAAATAGCCTTTGAAGTGCAAGTAGACAGATTTGGGTATGAAGGAGATCCTTAGAGGTTGAGATGGTGTAGATATAAACCTTGGAAATATTAAAATGAAAATACCTTCCTTCCAAGTAGAAACAACCTTAGAACCTTAGTTCTCGATTCAAAAAATCATTAGATCAAGGTGATCTAATGATTTGATTTTAGCATTCTTGGGTACGTATATATCAAATCTTGACCCTTCAAGGGGTTCACATCATGGTGTGTTGTGGTATGTTTGTAGAAGCCTGAGAAATAAAATGAAATTAAGCTATTATATTATGATGATCTAGTACCACGAGCCTAGCCTAGCTCATCCAAAAAATGAGCTATGGAAGCTCAACCCATTTAAGATTTTGAAAGCCCAAGTCATAAGTTAATTAAAAGCCAAATAATTTAAGAGATTAAGTTTAAGTAAATTTGATTACAAAGATTTAATGAATAGTAGGTTGTCACAATGGTCATTTACATGGTATTTCATATAAGCAACCTAGGTTCGAATCATCATATAGATGTTTTTATAAAACTTTTTGTAAATTATTTTTAGGCTTAAAAACTCTTCAAATTCTTAGTTAAAGACTCAATTTAACAAACTTAATGATAATACCAATGTTTTAAAAACCAGACCGGTCATCGACCCCGAAAAGAGGAAGGGTCAAGGGTCAAAAGATCGAGCCTAGATCGAACAGGGGTCGAACCGGTGCTTTTATAAAATAAAATAATATATATACATTTAAAATAAAGAAAGTAAAAAATGAAAAGTAAATATTTATATTAAATCACAAAACCAATCAATTGCAATCAACTAAGTCTAAGTGCTACTCAATCCGATTTTATAATTTAAAATAACTTAATAAATCAATAACATAAAGTAAACAATAATGTCAATAACTGAATAACATGAAAACTTAAATAGCTGACATTTACAAGTTTCACATCGACTACCACCAATAAAAAATGTAAAGTAATAATTGGAACCAAAAAGTGAACTGCATAAATTCATAACTCGACCGTTACTTGGAATTTCTGGATCAAACTAATTGGATTTGATAGTCTCACAGATTAGCTACTGAATAAATTTGAAATATATAGTTTTGATATATGTGAAATTTTATATGTTATTTTAAGTGAACTACAGTGAAACACCTTTCAACCGAGTTACTGCTAAGTTTTGAAAAAATATTTTAATACATCATATGATGCCGTTGGAAGCTAATTTTTGACTAAGTCATGTTATAAGGAGTTTCCTACTTTACATTAAAATTGATGAAATTTCGAGGTTGATAACTATGTAAACAAATTTATTTTAATAATTACCGTTTGAAATAAAAACTAAAACAACAATATTACTTTTAAAGTTTTGCAAAATTTCACGTCAATAGTGGTGCATATACGATATGATGCAAATAAGGTATGCTGTAAATATGGTACGATGCATATAAGGTATGCTGGAAATATGGTATGATGCAAATATGATATGCTGTAAGTATGGTAAGATACAAATATGGTATGCTGAAAATACGGTATGTGGCATATACGTCAATAGTGGTGCATATACGGTATGCGTTAATCCAACATGTAAAGTGCATATACGGTATGAATGAATTTGATTTTTTGGAAATTGTTTTCTTTTAGTATTATCTTAAAAAAAATTAATTCTATAAACCTTCCACTAAAAACATGATAAATTAATTTACGGCTAAAGTACAGTTAATCTTGTGACGTTTCGATCCATTTGGATTGTGGCGTTACAGTGTGGTATCAGAGCACGAGTTTAGTCTATTCTGCAGACTTAGTGTATTTCATTTATGAAATGAGCAAAATGAAACATTTAAGGCACTCCATGGCATCTCGCATCCATCAGTCGACCTCATCCTACCAGGTATGTTTAGCTAAGCGAAGTTAGAATTTTTCTTATAAAAAATGTTATAATTCTATAGTTATTTTTTCGTGTTTCACTACATTTTATATGTATACCTTATATGTAATGATAAATGCAGTTTGAAAAAAAAAAAAAGAGTTATTCAAAGGACATGTATTGGGCTAGAACTTGAAGTCGTGGGTCGCAAATGTCAAATGAAAGTCAAAATTCCATTGAAAAGAACAATATTAGTCAATAGGAGATTGATAACCAAGCTTGCCCAGATTTTGATGCTGACGAATTTGTAGACCTTGACAATCACATACGAAACATGTTTACATTGGCTAAACACAAAGAATGAGGATTAGTGACTGACAACCAATAGGTCATTTACTAAAAATTCTTGCACCTTGTGAGAAACAAATTGTAAAGCTTATACAAGAAAATATGCTATCCCAAAATTTTGGAAAGTAAACTTAAGGAACTTTGAAGTTTTTGCAATGCATATATCCGTAATTGGGAGACTAAGATCGGTGATGCTATCTCCCACATGGGATCCGAATAGGTAATGACCTCAGATGATGAGGTCGTACTATCAATTGTGACCAATACTATCGAAGAAGAAGAGGAAAAACCAGAGGACCTAGACCAAGAGTGAAATGAGTAGAGATTACTCGTTTATTAAAAAAATTAATTATTAAATTTTTCGAAGTCATAAACCCCTACCTTCAATGGAGGCATCTGGTCCACTAGTAGTTGAGGAATAACTTCATAAGTTAGAATGAAGTTTTTGACTCATAGACTGCATTGATGTCCAAAAGGTCCAGTGTGCGGAGTTTATGTTACCGGTGATGCAAGTCATTGGCGGGATTCGATGTCCTGAACTAGGGCTTCGAAACAGAAATTGGTGTTAACTTGGGAACAATTCATGGAGGAAGTATTGGACAATTATTTTTCTCAGTCTCTAAAGGATTTCAAGGAGAACGAATTTTTTCAGCTCAAGCAGGGTAATATGTCCCTGACTGATTATGAGGGAAAATTTAACCAACTATGAAGGTATGCTCTACACCTGGTGGACATGAAAATTAAGAAAACTCGAAGATTTTAGCAAGGGTACCCAAACCTAAGCATGACACTTATGTCACATCGTTTCACATCATATCGTGAGATTTTGGAACGAGCTCATGCAAATTGGTATCAAAAGGCAAATGCAGAGCAACACCATCAATTATACTACCAGCAGGACAAAGGATAAGTTGGAAAGAGAAAATGGAATGATCAAGACAAAGGAAAAGGCAAATGGCAAAATAAGAAGGTTAAATCTAGTATTAATTGTGATAAGTCAGAGAGTACACTAGAAGTTAGCATTTCCTCAGGCAGAACATCGAACACAGATCAGTTCGCTTGGTCGGTGAATCTTAAAATTGAGGGAAAAATATTTGAAGCAAATTTGTATGTGATAGAGATGAAAGACTTTGATATGATTTTGGGCAAGGATTGATTAGAATATAATTATGCAACCATTCGTTGCAGAGAAAGGGAAGTGTCTTCTCAGAAACTAGAAGAAGAACAATTTTCTTTCATAGGAATAAAGACCAAACCCCACCTCCAACTAGTATCGACCTTACAAGCCAAGAAAATGTTGAGAAACGAAACATCTCAAGGATTTCTAGTTAATATCTTCGGAGAAAAAATTGGCAGCGATAAAGATTGAATCGTTTGACCATCAAAAATAGGTATCCTCTCCTGAGAATTGAGGATTTGTTTGATCAATTGAAAGGGGCTAAGGTATTTTCCAAGATCGATTTACGATCTGGATATCGTCAATTGAAGGTTAAGGTGAGTGATATACCTAAGATAGCTTTTAGAACTCGTTATGGACATTACGAGTTTATAGTTATGCCATTCAAATTGACAATTGCTCCGGTGGTGTTCATGGATCTAAAGAATCATGCATTTCATCAGTATTTGGATCAATCTGTCACATCTTCATTGATGACATTTTGATATACTCCAAGAGTAAAGATCAATATGAAGAACATCTTAGAATGGAGTTAGAAATATTGCGCAAGGAAAAGTTGTATGCCAAATTTAAAGGTGTGAATTTTTACTTGAGTGGTAAAGGTGGAAGCCGTAACTAATTGAAAACACCGACTAACGCTGGAGAAGTTCGAAGTTTTCTGGGATTGACTAGATACTATAGGAGACTTATAGAAAGATTCTCTAAAATAGCAGACCAATGACGCAATTGACAAGGAAATGACTGAAGTTTCAATAGACAGATAAGTGTGAGCAAAGCTTTCAGAAGCTAAAACAACGATTGATTGTAGCATATGTATTAACCATACTTGAAGATTCAGAAGGATTTGTTATATATAGTGATACATCCAAACAAGGTTTGTGATGTATACTGATGCAGTATGGAAAAGTAATTGCCTATGCGTCAAGACAATTGAAGTAATATGAGCAGAACTACTCAACGCATGATCTAGAACTTGTAGCGGTGGTTCATGCATTAAAAATATGGCACCATTACCAAATGATGCGAACCCGATCAGTAAGGTTGCAATCGAACCCACAGGATATTGAATCGGATCCCAAGAATGCCAATATGACCAAGTTTATGGATCTAACCCCAAAATAGTGAACCAAGCAACCCAACAAGAACGATGCTATGGAGGACCTCTTGATTACACAATTGTAGAAATCAAAATCCGGAATTGTAAGTTCGACCCAATAAATTATCGAACCAGAAACCAAGACAATTACATGAATATCTTGACCACGTGATTACCCAATTTATGAAATCTCCCTTGATTTGTGAACGCCACAAGAAATTACTTTCTTGATAAGTTCGAATTGTCCATTTAAGAACAAAGTTTGAAGCGAAGCTTCACGAGAAAAATCTCTATTTTCAATAATCAAAGTCTTCGCAAAATACAATGAGATAATCCTATTTATACTCGGAAACATAAAACCTAATTAAAATAAATTAATATCCTTAGAATAAGATAAAAAATGAGATTTAGAACTCGTAGAATATGAAACTTGCCAAAATTAGGAAATCAAAACAAAATAGGATTCTCGCGCACAAGGCAATAAATTCTCCTCCAGCTTCAACGGTGCGGCCGCATGGCACAAACTGGTGTGGTCGCATGGTTCATATGATTTCGGCCAGCAAAATCCTACCTCTTGTTGTGAGGCCGCATGGCTACAATGCTGTGCGGTCGCACAACTTCGTATTTGCCTTTGTTTTTCGGCTATTTGTTCCACTTCGTTCCAATTGCTTCCAGCCTTCCTTCCCAACACATGACTTGTCACTTGACTTTCAATCTTCAATATGTTAACTACCATGGCTTATGATGATATTGATTGGCTTTATTATCCCAAATTAGTGCCAAACTTAGCTCAATTCTCGACCTTGGCTCTCGATCAAAATGCGTCAATTCCTTGAAACTTGGAAGCCTACCTTGGATCACATTATCCCCTCTTTCTTCGAAAGGATTCGACCTTGAATCTAAACATTGATCAACCAAATTATATCCCTTGTGTCCAATTAGTGCTATGACATGAAATTGTCCACCGCCTCTAGGTTGAAACTTGGACCGCTTTTGACTCCTTATCTGCCTCTTGCATATAAAAACCCAATCTCCTTTACTCGGATCAAAATGTCTATGCCTTGATCGCTTACTTTTGCAATTGTGAAATGCTCCATGAATTACTTCAATTGTTAATCCGCCGTGCATTTTCCATGTCCTCTTTTGCCTAGGTAATTGTAACAATGTCAACTCCAATGGATGCATGTTCGCCGACATACCAATTTTGTATTTTAGCTCCTTGCCATTCAATCCAACGCATATAATTTCATTCCAAGGCAGCTTCTTTACCTCTTCGGGGATTACAAATTCAACCTTCGGTGTTGTGAGAATGTTCCAGCTAGCATGTTGTTGCTGATCAATTCCCGGGTCGGGTAGTATTCTAGTAGGATTAATTTCTAAAATTAAATCTTCGGTACCCTACAAAACAAAAATTAGCAAAGCTGGGGAGGGAAATCTTAGTTTTCTCCAATGCCCCCCTTGACTTCACGCTTCTCTTCATTTAAGCTCACTTTCAACTCCTCCTTTCCCTCCGAAGATTCTTCTTCATTTTCTTTTTGCAACTCTACTTCTCCTTTGTAACGCCCCGACCCTTAGTGGACCGAAACGCTACTTACTTTACTTAGCTTAACCGGTGGTTTAGTAATAAGTGTATACATTTTGGCGGAAGCTTACATCTTAAGATAATCATTTAAATAACAATACTTCAAATACTTTAAACAAAAATTCTGAATCATTTTTCAAAACAACAAAATGTAATTTATTTGAAGAAAACATAACTTGTTCTCGCATTTTGCGTTATTCAAAACTTTAAAGAAATAACATTGGAAAACATTTCATAAAAATAAATTCAAATCACTTATTCACCAGATTTCCATGGGCTCGTTGCATCACTCTCCATCTTCTCCTCCATCCATGCCCGAGGTAGAGTTCCTTCAATCTGTAGAGATGGGATTAAACCTGTGAGTTGAAAAACTCAATAGGTGTCATAGGTGCATTCGTGATCAAGCTATACATTTCAAAACATTAACTTTATAACTTTTCATACATACCGTACCCGGAGGCACCATTTGACATGAAGGATATGCCGTAACCGAGGGCACCATTTGACATACGAACATTTCTTCAACATAGAGGGGTATGCCATACCGGAGTACCATTTGACATATAACCATTAACATAGAGGGATATGCCGTACCGAAGTACCATTTGACATATAAACATTAACATGAATCAAAACTTATAACTTAACACAATTAAACACATTGCACCTCTACCTACCTTGATTGATGCTTTTAAAACTTTGAAAATTTGGATTGAAAATTTCGATGAAACTTGGACGTTGAAAGAAATGCACTCCTTGGATGTTTGAAAATCATTGAGAATTGATGCTTGAAAACACTTCTTAAACTTCTAGGAAAAATAGTTTTCCTCCCTCTCTTTTTCTCTCTTGGAAACTCTTTCTTTAGTATGTAAAAACTCTTGCTTTTGGTGTCAGAAAAAATGAGTGAAATGAGGTCTCTATTTATAGATAAATATCCCATGATTTAAAGCAAATGACGGGTCAAATTTCATTTAAGAGAGAAAACATGGGTGCCATTTAAGTTTGAGGTTAAATGCTTCAATTTAGTGGGGTTTTTATTGCAAAAAGGTGGGTGGCCCTTTGAGAAAATAATTGATGAAAATAAATATTTAAATTTTAGAGAAAAAAGAGAATTTTCATTTCAGGCAGTTTCAGTATACCGGTTGTAGTCCAGTTGACACTGCACAGCCTTCAGTTTTTCTATCATAACTTCTTCTCCCAATATCCGATTGAGGTAATTTAACTCAAAGAGCTTCAACTTTTTTTTAGATATCATTTTGCAAATTGAATGTTTCCTATGTCGAAAATGGGTCTCAAATGAGACTAAAAATCTAAAGTATACTTTAGTCATCCAATATTCATGTCTTAGTGCCACTGAGGTGTCTAGAATTATTTGGGGTTCTACATCCTTTTATATTTTCTCGCTCAATTTCTCTTTCACTCTCTTGTGACATTTTTCCTTTTTCCTCAAAATTAACCACCTCACTATTTTCTCTTGAACTCTCTTTTTGTGGAATATTTTCCTCACCCTTTTCCCTCAATCTCCTCTCTGCATTATTTTTTACCGTGCATTGATCCTCATATACTTGTCGCGGTGTCAACGATGCAAGCTTAATATATCTCCCATCCTTGGTAAAACTATAGCAATTTGTAACTCCATCATACCTCGCCTTCCTATCACACTTCCATGGTCTACCCAACAAAATGTGACAAACATGCAATGGAATGACGTCACACAACATTTCATCGTGGTACCTTCCAAGTGAGAAACTTAATTTAACTTGCCTACATACTCTAACCACTCCACATTCATCCAACCACTGCAACTTATAAGGTTTTGGATGTGCCATCGTTTTCAATCCTAATAATTCCACAGCGTATTGCTAACAAAATTAGTGAAACAATCTCCATCAATAATCAAACTACATACCTTGTCTTCATGGCATCTAGTTTGAAAGATCTTTCCCCGTGATTTCTCCACATCATCCAATTTGATTGCTGTATTGATAATACGCTTCAACACACTTGTTTCTCCCACAGCCGAGTTATCAAATTCATCAACAAGATTTCTACATCACTTTTCAATCATATCCATCGTATCTCCCAAATCCACCAACATTTTCTCAAATCGCCGCATCATCCTTTCAGACATATTGATTGGTTTTCAATTGGGTTGTGGGTGAAACTCGGGAATTTTTAAAGGCTCAAAGAATGGATTTACTTTGGAATGAATTATGAAAATTCAAGAAGTGGTCTTGAATTTCTGACTGACTGGACTACCTTGATTGGAACTTTAATATGAATTCAAGAAAGTGGTTCTTAATTTGGAATTTGACACAATAACAATTTTTTTTACCCAAATAGTGACTTGACATTTTTTTTCAGACAGTGAACAGTAAAAAAATTTTGATTTTTTTTGACTCACTAGATAGAAAATTCGACTACGACACTAACGGAACGAACGGAAGTTGATTTGGACGCAAATTGAATCCAAAAACAACTTTTGAATTTTTTTTGGATTTTTTGGATTAAAGACTCGAAATTAATAACTAACTCCAAGAACAACAAGCACAATCACAAAAAAAAAAAAAAAAAAAAACTTACTTAACATGAAAAGGAAAAAATATAACCTTGATCTTGGTGCCTGAAGCTCTAATACCAAATGATGTGAACCCGATCAGCAAGGTTGCAATCGAACCCACAGGATATTGAATCAGATCCCAAGAACGCTAATATAATCAAGGTTTATGGATCTGACCCAAAATAGTGACCAAGCAATCCAACAAGAACGGCGCTATGAAGGACTTCTTGATTACACGATTATAGAAATCAAAATTCGAAATTGTAAGTTCCATGCAATAAATTATCGAACCAGAAACCAAGACAATTACATGAATATCTTGACCCCTTGATTACCCAATTTATGAAATCTCCCTTGATTTGTGAATGCCACGAGAAATTA